CCATTTCTTCTGCTTTTAAACCGCAATAACTCTGTTGATTTCTGTGATGCTTCAACAATATAAAACCTTGTGTCAGTGTAATTGAAGGAAGGAGGGAAAACCAATCCTCTGTAGATCTAAAAGCTTTAATTTAGATTTGCCATAAGCAAAATCTACACAAGCCTCATGTAAAGATTTCACGAAGTTGGGTAAACAGCTACACAAAAGAGAGAAGAAATGCATTAAGAATTTCATTAGTGATAGAGATCTGACACAACAGTTTGTATCAAAAGCCTAAAGGCATGAAGCATTCTGTGGGCAAGCAAGACAGGTTTAGCTGTACTATTACAGACTGGACTTAAGTCAAAAAGCAATAGGTTGTCTGGTTTGTGCCTAATCAGTTGTTTGCAGTGGTGGGGAGTGGGGGGGGCAGGGGGGCAGAAAAGAAAGGATTTCTTTATGTCGCAGATAACTTCAAGTTAAGCAACAACTGACTGCTAGGCTTCTATTTAGAAAGGCTTAACAGCTATCACTGTCAATCTCTCTCAGATTTATTGCCCATGACTCACAATAGCTGAGATGCTGAATTTAGAGTTCAAGAGCTATTAAAACCACTTTTTCCTCTATTAGTGTTGCCCTTTGGAGGCTTTCTCTTGTCCCTTGCTGTCAGCCCAAGAGCCACATTTTCTTTGTTACACACATTCTATCTTCCAGACTATCTTATCTTCTAAGCAGGAATGGGTGATATATTCCATAATATGGGTTTTCTGCTACAGACTCATGCTAACATGCCTTCACCTTTGAATCACCTCTGAGATATCTGGCTGTGAAAAGTTAATTTCAGAGCTTCCTAAACATGATTTTTTAACAGACAAACAGCACTCGGAAGGAGCCTCGATCGTGAGGCTTATACAGAACTTCTAAGAGTTAGCGGTCATCTATTCAAATTGAATAGAAGCCCCTTCTATGTCCTGTCAAGTCTTACCTGTTTACTTAGCTAACAAAAGCACATTTTTACTTTTTCTATCACTTAGAGCAGCAAGAAAACAAACTAGCAGTGCAAGTTATTTCTCTGAACAAATTACAGAATCATAGAATCAACCAGGTTGGAAAAGACCTTTAAGATCATCCTCATGCCTCTGACTGTAAACCTGGAGGCACTGTACTTCTGAATAAGATGAAGTACATTTCTACATACTGACCAAAATAATCACTCTACAGTAATTTAGTACATGTATGTGGCCAAAGGTGTCCAACAAGACAAAGAGTAAAATGCAGAGTTTTGTGAAGAAAAGAAAAAGTACTAGAAGACACCCATGAAAAGATGTTATAATGTGACTTACAAATGAGATCAAATAAAAGAAATACCAAATGAAGACCTCAGCATTAGATACATAATATAGATACAACTGTCTTACCACTAGCAGTTACTAGTCTGTCATTCTTCCAGATCAAAAACTGAACTTGCGGTCTTCAATGCAGCTATGCCAAATTCATACTGAGAAGTGCTACAATCTGGAAAAGGAATGAATTCTGAAGAAAGCTGGTGTTCAAATCCTCTGGACATATTTCTAACTATATTAAAATTTCAAAATTTGTATTATTAAAGGTACTCAGTGAATGTTAAAACAAAGGCAGAATTTAATTCAGATCATAGATGCTCTCTACAGGCACCTAAATTCCTCTAACTTATCCCCAACATTCTTCCTTGCTGTAGAAGGCAGTAGGGTAAAGAGCTGCTTTGGCACTGTACACTCCAGGCTAATTTGGGGAGACTGTAAGGATTTACAAAGTTAAAGAATCTAACAACTCTACCCCTCAGGTGAGAAAGAGTGAACCCAATAGGAAGAAGCATCTCCCCTAACCCCTAGGCGATGGTCCTGTTCCCCTTCTTCTGCATGAACAGCCCATCCAGACAGGCTCGGTTAATCCATGAATTTTATACAATGTAACTTGGCTTTCAGCTTTGGAATGACACTATAGAACAGTAAAAAAACATGAGATGTAAATATCTTGCAATTATATCCCTTCATATATATATTTTTAAATGTCAAGGAACAGAAACGCTTCTTGATGAAAATTAGCGTCTCCCATTCCAATTCAACACCTTAGTATGTTCATCTATAAAAGTTCCCCAACTTTATTCATTTTCTTCAAAGTAGCTGGTATGACACTACATTTTAGATTTGTGATCAAAATACTGTTGAGAACACACTGATATTTTAGATATCACTGAGCAGTGATTACACAGCATCAAGGCCTTTTCTATTTGTCATGTTGCCCCATCAGTGAGGAGTCTAGGAGCAACATGACAAATGTTGGGGCATACAGGAAGGGACAGAGCTGGGACTAGCTGACCCAAGGGATATTCCATACCAAATGGAATCACACTCAGCAATAAAAGGGGGTAGGAAAAGGGAAGAAGGGAGGACACTGATTTTAGTTATGGCATTTGTATTCCCAAGTAACAGTCACACACAATGAAGCCCTGCTCTCCTGGAAATGGCTAAATATCTGCCCACTAATGGGAAATTGAATTAATTCCTTATTTTGCTTTGCTCGCACATGCAGCTTTGCATTATCTATTAAACTGCCTTTATCTCAATTCATGAGTTTTCTCACTTTTCCCCTCCAGATTCTCTACCCTATTCTCCTGGGGGAGATACTGACCAGATGTGCAGGGCTTAGCTGCCCATCAGGGTTAGACCACAGCACTTACCCAGAAGCAAAAGACCCGTGTTTAATCTTGTACATAAAGTAAATGTCCCTCGCAAACATGGTAGCCAATGCAATATTGATGCTCAGTGAAGGGTGGCAGCAACACTGCACACAGTCTGCCAAATGTGGTTTGAAAACACATAAGAATGAACAACTGTGAGTTACCATGAGGCATGCAGTCACAGGATGTGAATGAGGGAGTGGTTTGGTTCAATTTCACATGTGAAATAGGAGAAAAGCTCCAAAAGACAGCTCAGCTCTTAAAGAGGAAGATTTATTTTTCTCCATGATATAATCAGAAATATATACAACAAGTTACCCCAAAAGTCTGTTCAACTCAAAGACATGTTTTATTGTTGGTATTTTATATCTTTGAAAATGATCAAAGTGCAACATCAATATATTGCTTCAAAATTGAAAACAAGAGGGCTCATTTCAGAACATTTCCTTTATTCAGTTCTTTTTGGCTGAAGCTACATGTTATTAAAACAAAGTAATCACTTGAAAATTTCTGATCAGCTTTTATCAAACACACCCTGTCATGTTCAGTATTTGCTTGCAGTGTTAAACCATAAGCATTTAAGCACTGGAACATCTAGAGCTTTAGTGAAAATATTATGTGTTAAGGTCTCTAAAGCAGAGCTAGTATATTCATACAGACACTATGCTACTGCAACTGCTCTATCACATAAATTACATATGACAGCTTGCACTAACTCAGCAAACCACACTTTGAGCTGTCTGCTGGCACATTACTAATTTACAATTGCCTTCAACAAGATTCCTGCAGAGCAGATGAGGTGATACTGCAGATGTTTCAGCCAACTTGCATTTCTTTGCATCACTGAAGAACAGGTAGAGATTTTTTACTGCTTTGCACCATGGTATTTTAAATCAGAAGTCTATTCCTTTTGTTAATTTTGGTGGGTTAAAGTTGTTACAGTACTTGTGTACTGAAAATCCTTACTCAAATACTTAACAGCTGATTTTTCACAGCTGTTAACTGATATGTAGCCAACACCTGTAGATTCATGTTCTGTGACTTGCCTCAAAAGGGAACTTAGCTGGTAGACCCAGAAAAACACACTGTTGTTAAACCCCATGATGACCAGCAACATCTTGGGGTTATAAGACACAAAACATAGAATACTTGAATTTTATGATACTCACTACTTACTTACTAACTTTTGCACAGCTCTTTTCCAGGCCTGGTGCATGGACTTGTGCATTTTTCACAGCTTAAAGAGGGAGTAGCAGTATAAGTAGAGTATAAAGTAGACTTTATTCTAACTCACTGGAAAGGCAAATTGAGAAGATACAAGATGAGCAGATAGTACAAAATTTCCTATCTGCTGGACAATTATTTTCCCCAGTGACTTGCTACGAGTGAACAAACCAAGGTCAGATGAACCTTACAGCAAAAAGGCATACACCACATTTGTGTGCGCAAAGCACTGTGTCTAGAGGAACAAAGAACAGTAAGTAGGTCCCTGCTTTGCTGGCATGGATTTTGGAAACCTGATAATGGGAATGGTGGGAGGGTGACAGAAGACATGTGGGAACTACTGCTGCACTCTTTCAGAAATGGGTGGTATCTATTTGGGTGTTATGATTCAAGAACATGAGACAAAATAGGCAGATACTTAAGAGTGGGAAAAAGCTTTGCAGAAACTTTTAAGAACGTCATGAAAACATTATTTTAACATTATGTTTAAAGCAGAGGTGTGAAGAACATTATTTAGATGATCCTAATAGCTCCTACTCTACCTCATCCTCTATTCCTATCATATCTACAGGCAAGTTGAAACTGATCCTACACTGTTTAAGTACATTGAAAAGAGAAGCTTAAAATACAACTTGCCTCAAATTCTTTTCCACATGTCTGGCACTGGGTACAATCACACTACCAGAAACAGTGAGCCTAATCCATAGAAAACTAAATGCATGAGAGAAGAATAAACTCTACAGAAGGTCATTTTATGCATAACTTATACCAAAGGCTTATGTCTGACTTCCTTAATATTCTAGTGTTTATAGGACAAGTTATAGGCAACACATCACACAGAGGATGCATCCTGAGAGATGTAGTTCTGGCTTCAGAACAGGAGGAAGAATGAGAAGTTTGGCTCCTTTCTCTTTACCGTCTATAGTAAGAAAAGTGTTAGCAGAACTGCTCAGTGTAAGGAAATAATCCGTTGGTATTCTGTGCTCCCACCATTAGTTTAGGCACAATGTCTGCTGAACGTAATCGCCAAAGTAGTCTCCTATTTCTTAAACTCCTCTAAACTGATTGTCACTAAAAATACAGAGCCAAATGGACCTTTATTCATGATCTTTCATAGCACTTCTTATACTCTGAAAAACATCATTACTTTCAAGGTGCCCAAGCTACAAATATAGTCCTGATTTAACAAGAAAGGTTGAATCCTCACTGAAGCTATATGCATGCTTTACTCAACATTTGAGATGCCATTATCTAGTAGGCAATACTGTGCTGAACACACTCAAGACCATCACTGCCAGGAAGTGTTTTGTGTTGTTGAAATGGAGAGCAACCAGGTGTTGCTTTCTGGAGTGAGGGAACAATGTCAATGTTAAAATTAACTTTTCTAAGTATTATTCTGATTTATTAAATCCAGGAAATCTTTAAGAATAAGAAAGTCAAGAAAACGGTTGACATTTTAAATACTTCATACATAAAAGGTTAAAAGTTTGGAATTTCTCCTGGCATGAAAAGCACTGATGTCTTGCTAGTTTGTAGTTCATTCTGGGCTATAATCTAATTCTAGCCCATGAGTGCGGGCTACCGTTACCGCACCCTGTTTCTGCTTTGTCTGAACTCAGGGACCTCGAATCTATTTCTTTTATCAGTCAGGATTCTTAGAAAAGGGGTGCCCTCTATCCGCAGGCAGGCAGAGCACACCAATAAAGCTACAGGAGGGCTCCATGTGGGGCTGACTGCACTGTGTTAAAATTATAGGTGGGCTCCACATGGGGCTGACTGCGTTGTGTTCGCTGTGGGTTGCTGTCAAGTGCCAGGCGACCACTGAAGCCTTGTGCTACTAAAATTGGAACCTGACATACCCAGCTCTCCAAACCCTATATAGACCAGAACCTTACTCAAAGGGAAAGGACTTTCATACAATCATAGTAGAGAGAAAATGTAACATGCATTGGTTTATTTAAGGATTTAGGGGGTGAGGTGTTCAAAAAGCAGCTCCTGATATAACTCCCTTTCAAAAACAGTAACAGTCTTTCTCACTGATGCATCCCTAAAGTATGGAAAAAACTAATGCCTGCAAACTCCATTCCAGTTCAAAATACGACACTGAAAACTAGTAATAGTAGGGCATCATGGCCATTTAAAAAACATCCAAAAAACCCTAGTGCACTGCAGTCCCTGTTGACATAAGGAAACAGGTGATGCATTTCCCAAGATCTAATACAGCAAAAACCTTGCACCACTAAAACTCACATGACAATTTAAGGCCCATCTTTCTTTCATTTTGAATATTTCATTCTTTTTTCATTTTTTTTTTTTTACAAGTAGTATCTTCTAAGATGCTTCAATTCATTATTTTGAATAAAATAGTGTGAATACTATGAAATTATTCATGGATAGATTAATATTAGAAAGCTAATGTTAATCAAAGACAAAGATGTCAAAAGTATCAGGACATTTAGATCTTCAGAAAGCTTTCTAAAAGACTGAATTTCAAAAGCTGCATATAACAACCTCTGGAAAAAATAGGTCCTTTCAAGAGGCAGCAGTGTGAGTACACAAAACCACTGCTCATGCTTTGGCCTGATGATTTGAGCAGTCAGTTACCAACCCAAATATGGCAACCAGTGCAGAGGCATTCATCCATTTTGCCTTAAACACACACATACAGATATTTTCACAAATTAAAAAAACAAAATACACAAAACCACAACTTTTGATGAATTTGACAGCAAATGTATTGGAATGTGATCTGACTGAATCAACAGTTAAAAAAAAAAAATTAAGTGGCTAAAATAGTATAATGTTACAGAGTATAATGCTAATGGGCAAGTCTTCTGTGTGTTTGGGGTTATAATTTTTTTAGTGTTTTTATTTTTTTTTAAAACAGGCACAGTCAAAACCACCACCATATTTAGCAGCAATGATAAGTAATGATCACTATGTCAGCTTTCTCAGGCTAGATTGTCCTGTCAGCCTTTTACTGTCATTTCAGTTTATGCTTGAAAATGGCTCTCAGAACACAAGTGTTAATCTTTGTTTGCAAGGTCTAATTACCTGAATATAATCAGATACATGTGCGCTCACATACCAGAACCCCCGTGTGCTGGGCTGAACCCCCAGAGCATGAGCAGCAGGTCAGGGAGGGAATTCTGCCCCTCTGCTACGCTCTGGGAAGATGCCCCCCCCGCAGTCCTGATCCAGCTCTGCGGCAACAGCACGAGAGGGATGTGGAGCTGCTGGAGTCAAGAGGAGGCCACGGAGATGGTGGAAGGGCTGGAGCAGCTCTGCTCTGGAGCCAGGCTGAGAGAGCTGGGCTGGGTCAGCCTGGAGAAGAGAAGGCTCCTGAAGGGGAGACCTCAGAGCAGCTCCAGTGCCTGAAGGGGCTGCAGGAAACCTGGAGAGGGGCTTGGGACAAGGGCCTGTAGGGACAGGACAAGGGGAATGGCTTTAACTTGCCAGAAGGGAGACTGAGATGAGCATTATCTTACACTATTACTTTTACTTATTATTTAACATTATTTATTATTTAATATATCCTTTAACATTAAAAAGATTTTACTTCTAAATATAACCATTAAGCTAGTTTTTCTTCAGTTTTAACAATAGTATCATAATTACATTCATGAAATTGTTCAAGTTAATTTCAAGGTTAAGGACCAAAACCTCTTACTTTGCATATTGGCATAAAGGCACTACCCTTCCTGTTAAGTGGTTTGTATATGTTAGACTACTAAGATTAGGAAATATCTGAAATCTGCTCAAAAGCTTTTATTTTTCCTTAGAAGAGCAGTAGTTCTCTCAGTCAGATAGATAATCACATTCCTACTGCAAATAGGCCAAAGCCAAATCCTGGAGAAGTTAAATGAAAACTTGGATTTAAAATTTGCATTTACTTCCTTCACTCGAGATTAGCTCAAAACACATTCACAAATACTAAAAAATCCCTGCGTTTTGTGGGCATTGGAAAGGAGTCTGTATAAAAGTTCTTCATCTAGACATGATTAATTCTGTAGCTTGTGGCTTAGAACGGGCTTCCCATTTATACTGTCTTTTTTATTAGTAATGAATGATTTACTACAACATATTCTAGATCAGGCACCACTTTCTAGATGTAACATGGAACTATTTGTATATGGAATATTTCTACATTTTTTTCTACACTATACCACACTATTTCTACAGGTGCTTTCTAAAGGAAACAAACATGCAAAGATAGGAAGTCCATACCTCATCAACAAAATTTTGCTAAGTTTATTTATGTTGCTGGCTTGAGAATGCTATGGCTAAGTACTATAAGGAATGATTCATAGAGTTGAACAAAATCTTGGCAGTTAAAAAAGAAACCAAGCCAAACTTGCTTGCTTTCATTACCAACTATGAAGCCTCACCAGATGTGCTGTGATCTAATAAATCTTTTAAGGGTATCTGTACAGACAGGAAATTCTGTATCAAAACCAGGCACACCTCAGTCACTGAAGCAGATTTTTTTTGCTATCAGATATCAAAATTAAACTAACTTAAAAACCTTATATAGAAAACAATTGTGGAAGTACAATTCCTACTTAATGGAAGTCAAACATGCAATAGTAGATTAGTGAGAGAGGTAACAGCAAGGATGCACTCAGGAGAGAGAATTTCCCCACCCACAAGCACTGGTTACCTGGGTGAACCACAGGTGCCTTCGCATTACTTCCCTGGTACCTTCTCTGAAGAGTCTGGTTAAATCTTCCACTGACGCTAGAAACATTAGAAAATTTATTCTATGACTGGTCTCTCAGAGGGTTGAGATCTACAAATTACAGCTAAATCTTTGTTATGCAATTTACTTTTACAAAGAAAAGCCTCCTTTGGTCAAACTGGCATGCATTGACAGAACGGAAAGGTATGCTTGGTTTTAAGTGTGTTTGCAGCAGGTACAGTTAACAGCTATAAAACCAGATTACAGCACTCCTGTTTCCCTGAAAATTTCTTGCTGCAGTATGAACAGATACCACAGAATGCTGGTAATGTAGCAGAACTTACTTGCTACATGCTGCTATTTAACACTGCTCCAGCAATAGACTTCTTCAAGTGGGAGCCTTCCTCCATCGCCTTTCTGCACTTGAGTGCTCACTATTGTCTAGAAAATGGGTTTCTCAGCAGGAGGTGTATGACAACAAAATAGGCCCTTGGCTCAGCAACCCAATGTTGTCAGAGCTGAATATCTGGCCGGAGCAGGACTTGATATTCCTTAAAATAAGTTCATTAACTGCTTGACCTTTTCTACTTCCTAGGAAGATAGAAGTACCAATGCCTTCCAAACACAACACCAGACCACCTAGGCTGCCACTACATCCGTTTATAAACGGAAGTGTGTGTAAAAGTAGAAAAAAGCCTCGTCTTGCACACTGACCAGAAAGTACATCACATGCAATTAAACCAACTAAAAGTCATTAACATTCTCAAACACTTTTCTGGTAGGTACACTGCCACGGAAATACACTTTGTCTGCTGGGTTACGGTACAGACAGTCCCTTTGACCAGACACCCCCACCTCCTGCTGAATTCCCAGGCTGACAAGTTGCTGCTATGTTTATCACTTTTACAAGTAACAACATTGATGGGAAACAGTAATAATTCTGCTTGTGCTCCAGTACTGCACATTTTGTTGCTGTTGTTAATCTTGGCAACAGCCTGAACTGAGCAACTACATAATCATGGAGTCCATTAACTGGAATAATGCCAGACTTCCCAGTGCTTTATGTTCATAAAAACATCCTTCAACACATTTTCAGATCCAATTATATGACTGATAAATGAAGAAGAAAAAAAAAGTCTAAGAAATTACTTCCACCCTGACTGCTTGCTTGAATTTTCCAGTGGCTTTTCATCAAGACCATAATGAATTTTTCAACTACTCCAGAAGCCAAGCAGTGGGACTAGTGTTAGTGTCTGCAGCAGGCCGAGGCCATCACCTAACAGGTGGAAACTCATGTCCTGTGTTATCAACCAACAGGAATTGTCTCCAAGATGATCAGCAGCTGGACATCCCCTGCTAAGGACTGATGAAAACCAAGTCGGGCTCACAGAAACCACAGGGACAGCCACACACACCAAACACTACAGCCAGTGCTTTGGATGCTCGTGAGTTCAAAAATGCAGCTTGAAAAAGGATATCCCTGCTCCCTGGCCATAGTGGATTTCACACACAGCAAAGAGGCAAGACCAGCAGCAACCATCAGTTTGAGAAAACATTGTTGAAAATCAGGATGTGGCAGAGCCATTTAGTTTGATGTTTCTTCCTGCCAAAAGATGAAGGAGGAAAGAATTGTTTCTTATCATCTTCTGGAACATGTACAATGCTAATCCTGCTAATGCTGAGTAGGACTTCATGGATGTCTTCTTTCTAAATCCACACATTTGCTGCGATTTTCTCAGCCTACTGTATATTTGAGTAGCTTGATGAGGTTTACGTCATATTCCCTGCCCCAAACTGTATCAAGCTCAGTTCTCCACAGGACAATAGGGGAGGATGTTTGTACAATAACAGTAATTTGAACTATTTGCAGTTTCATTTCATGACTACATTTATCTACTTACACCACAGTTAAGATTATTTGTGATTACACTGAGTTCTGTTGCAATTTGTTTACTTTGGTAACAGTCTTCTGAGTTATCAAAACTTACCCCCCCCTTATCTAAACATGATTTAACTGTTCAGTGAGGATTCACTAGCAGTATTGTGGCTACTAGGACGTATTTTCCATCCATGTAACTTCTACCTGGTGGACAAGTTACATCAAAACTCACTGCTTAGAAAAATTTATCTGAGGTATATTAAGCCAGTTGAATTGCATAGCTTGGATGATGAATACTTCATGAAAGACAGTGACCCTTGGCTATCTATAATAGAACACGAACTAGATCTGTGGTACATCTGTTAAGCTGCATGAGAAATTTTTAATGATTTATCTGTAGTTTCATATCACTACAAAAATACTTCTAAATTCTGTTGCTGGCTACAAAGCAAAAATGCTACAGCCAACATTATAATATTCTTTCCAAGTTTTAATTTTCCTTACAGCTAATAAATAGTGCCTGCAATTAGTAGGTCATTGGAAGACAGAGCGAAATCTTTGGGTGCAGATGCAATAAACTGTAATAAGAAAAATTAGCCACCACAAAAATACAGAGGAACATCACAAGATATTATAAACCAAATCGTGAACAAATATTTGCAGAATGGAGGGAACTGGCAGCTTCAATTCTTACTCTCTTCTGAAGATGTAATGTGTACTCTATTCTAAAATATTCAGCACATTATGATTTTACCTGCCTCTTCTGCTGCGAATCCCAAATAACTCAGACCTCAACCTGGATTTGAGTGATCTGCTTTCTTGTTCCGTATATTAATTGGCTCTACAAATGGTTAGACATAATTAGAGGCATCTATTCAATGCCCCAGAATAAAGCTTGCATTGCATTGTTCATAACTTCCAGACTTGTTCCCAGGCTGGTCAACAGTCTGTTTTATAGCTATGAGATGCAGAAAGTAATTTTCATTACTTGCATTCATTTAATTAAAAATCAATTGAGCTACAGAGCTCATAAATACCTGTTACAAAGTTAAATACCTTGAAGGACACAGCCTGAAGTTAAAGTCATTCTTTGCCAAGTACTTGCAGCTGTATCTTTTTAAATTATTCTTCTTCTCCACATCTCTCTCTTCTAAAAAGAAGTGGAGTGGCTTTACAGGGAGCCAGTACATCATGTTACTATGTTTTACAGTTAGGTCTTGGAAAAAAAAGAAATCACTGGCTACCTGATGTGGTTATTTTTAGAAGCTGAACATATCATCAGAAAAGTCTGTTCTGCATTCCCAGAGCCAAGACAATGTGTCACACTCAGATTGGATGAGTTTCTGAAGCCTGCGGGCAGGAATCCACTAGTGACGGTGCATATCAGCACTGAAACTGAGCAGGAGGCCTCTAGTACAAACGACAAACAGGCAGCCAGAAAACATACAGGAGAAAATATGATGTTGAAATGGCTTTCTTTGAATTCATTCTTATACCTCTTATCAAGAAAGGCAGAATGGGAATACCTTTCTAGTAGCTAGATAGCTGGGATAAAAGCAGAGAAGCTTAATGTGGTTTATTATAGGAATGGAAGCTTAAAAACCAGTTTGTCCTGTTAGCAGGAAGAAAAGCCATCATCTAGAGGACAGGCAGATAGCATCATTGAAAGGCATTAAATTAAAAGAAAATTAATTGTGCGTACTGGAGGACCTTGCATTCACATTACAAATCAGGCCCTCAAAATGATGCCCAGTGTGCAATTTCAATCTTAGTTTCACAAGGAGTAGGATTGCTTCAGGTGGAACAATAATGCACGAGTTCTACAACCAAGACACCAATTATAGCTTCAGGCTAAATATTTGCTCCTCAAAAACCCCTCCAAAACACTGACTTGCTAATTTAAACACACACATAATTCTCCCCAGAACATTTGGAGAATTACCTTCTTCCCTCACCCTGAGATTTTTGTTCTTGATCTCACTCCTATTACGAGCAAACTCTTTCCATTCTGGCTGAAATGGTTTGCTTTGCAGCCCCACCAAGACAGCTGTTTTCAAAGAAGAATCATCTCACTCTCCTAGCAAAGGGTAGAAGATGAGGCTATATGAACATGCATCTGGTGCAACTGTCTTTGAACAGCAAACTGGAAACAAACATACTACCATTTTATCACTTGTTGCAAGATGAAAATAAGAAGCGTAAGTGTCTCAGTGTAAAATACTGATACTTAACAATAATTGATCTTGGCACTAATGGTTGTGAAGTGAAATTGTTCAACTGTCTGTTCTACCCATACTACTAGCAGTCTTAGATAAGATGCTCTGGAATTGCTTATTTATTAAAATAATCCTTATATAACTGGTAGTGCAAATACATGGAGAAACGATTCACATCAAATGTGGTATCAGTTGCTATAGCCATATAAAAAGGATTAGGATGGAAGTAGAGGGACAGTGTCATTCCAGATCAAAGCCAACCATTCTTGCTTTCAAACACTGAGTATCGATGGTTGAGTGAATGAAGCAGAAGATGGGCGGCTAGCTCCATCTTCTCCACTCCATAAAACCACATTAAATCAACTTTTTGGCCACATGCAATGAGTAAGAATCAAGAGGGTTTTATTTTTAATCATGGAGAACTTCAGTTTGGACAATACAAGCTGAATTGTTCAGTCAACCAGTACTAAAAAAAAATTATTGTATTTCCTATTTCTGAGCAGTACAACAGATATTTTCTAAACTCAAATAGCATCAACTCTAACATGAACCAAAGCTAAAATGTATATCACAGTATAAGGATAATTATGGAATGATAAAGAGGAGGTGATCGCAGAAAAAGTAGTGATATTAGAGGGTACAAATGACTAGGACTTGGTATGATTTGACAAAGAGATGAAAATTCCAAATATTATCTACTTGGTTCTTTTGAATAGGTAATTGTGTAAGCAAAGTAAGTAAAATCAAACCAGCACAGAATTAAAAGCTCATTAGAAAAATGGATGCAATGATAGGAATTGAGTGCATTTCACTGTATTTCTGGAACCTAAGCTGTGAAAAAAGCTGCCCCGGGAGAAAACACACACACACACACACAGAGTGAGTGAAATACAATGCGTTCTGTAACGACTGAAACTCAGGAGGCTTTAAAGTCAGCATGTCTAGGAAACTTTACTCAGGAGTTTTAAAAACTTTTAATGGCAAATTTCAATAACTGCAAAAGACAGGAAAGGTCTCTATGGCTGGGAAAAAAAGCTGTGCTAATGTTTTTTGAAGAATAAATAGAGAGCAACTGTAGAAATAGTAGCCAGCAGTCATTTCCAGTCAGAATAACCGAACAGCTCATACCAGAACGCAATGTAAAAGAACTACAGAATGAAAAAATAATATAACTGAGTTTATGGAAAAGAGAGACTGCTAAACAAATACGTTATCTTTGATACTCTTACGGCTGTGGGCAACAGTGGCAATATCGTTACTGCAGTGTATCAGTAAGGCAAAACTCTGTGGACTTAATATTGGAGCATGTCTCATTCTACACAACCACAACCCTCATATTTTTATGCCCTGTTACTTACTTCCTTCATGTAAAATAATATCCACATCGTTCCTGCAAAAAACAGCCTCTTCAGATGACTGGATGTCCTCACCAATCATGCTTCTTCTTCCTCCTAAAATCCTCACTCAAACTCTGCATCAGCATTTCTAGTCCCTAATTTTGTTCCTCAGCACTAGTATTTCAATATTCTAATTTAACATATACAGGCTGGATTTTTTTAGATTGATCTCACCACTGTAACAATCAATATTATCACTTTCTCCTACCGAGTCTACCAGGTCTCCAGTGATACAAATATGTTCTAATTTCAGTTTTTATCACATCTTCGTCCAGGTCCCACAAGCTTTTTCAAGTGTTATCTTTCCATTTCTTTGCTGCTAGTTTCTAGCATACAACTAATTAATGGACTCTTAGTTTCTGTCTCTGATCACGACACTTTTAAGTGCAGTTAAAGTCTGTAACTTATACACTAGCAGGTTTGCTGTTTTGATACCAGCAGCAAGGATCTTCCATCCCCTCACTTACCTCTGTGATTCACACCCACACAGAGGTGTGTAGCTGCTTATTACATTCTAACCTTTGTTCTTCCAATTGTTTTCAAGATTTACAAAAGCACAGTAACATACCTTTTAACGTCAAAGTTAAATTTGCTTGAATTTAGTAAACTGGTTTAAAATTATTGAGAAAATGATTGACAGGCAGGCTAACCTTTGCCTCTCATGTCAGCAGCAGCTCTCCAGCAGCAGCTGCCAAGTTGCTGCTCTTCTTTCATTGCAACTACTTGTAGTATGCTGTTTGTTTGCTGTGGACTGCTCTTCAGATACACAGGTAGACACAGAAGCTTCAATGGAATTCATTCTGGAAGTCACTGCAGGCTC